GGACGGGCGGACGGACGGACGCGCCCGACCCGCGCGTGGGGGTCGCTGCGGTGCTGAGCCACGGTTTTAGCGGGGTCCCCGCGAGGGGGCTGCTGGCGCACACCCCGGTTAATCCGGAGGGACGGTGCAGCCCCGCTGGGACCCGTGCAGGGCAAGGGTCGCCTTCTGAGACCCGGTGCAGACCGAGCCCAGACGCAGCGAGCGCCCACGCGAGGGCGCGGGCGGAGGGCCGGGGCGGGCGTGGGCGAAGCCCGGGGCGGGCTGGCGGGCCGGGCGGAGCGTTCGGACGAGGCTGCCAGCGCAACAGAAAGGCACTAGAGGGATTTCAGAAGAGAGCGACCCGGTAGCTGACCGTAACAGTGTACAGTATGAACGTGCCGGCCTCCTTCGGATTTCAGCAGCTCGCTGGAGTGTGTGTGTATTGCGTACTACGCGTTTTTATCACGTGTGCAGGCTCGTGGGGCCACGCGCACAGTCAGAATACAGACCGGTCCGTCCCAGGGAGTCTTCGCCCCACCTTTAACAGCGCCCTTCCTTCTCTCCCTACCCCATCGCTCTGTTGTTCATCAGGGTCCTTGAGCCCAGGGCCTCCCCCGCTCGGCAAGTGCTCTCCCAGCGCTGCACCCCAGGGCTGCGCGTCCCTGCATTTTGTCATTTCGAGAATGCCACGTACGTGGAGTCAGCCGGTACATAACCTTCGGGGACCCCCTCCACCCTGTAGTTCCTTTGAGGTCCGTCCCAGTTATCATGTGGGCTGAGAGCTGGCTCCTTTCCATTGCTGAGTGGTATTCTGTGGGATGTTTATGCCACCGTTTGTTTAACCAGTGATGCACTGACGGGTTGTTTCTGTGAACGTTAAAAGTTTATGGTACAGGGGCTGGAGATTTAGCTCAGCGGCACGGCGCCTGCCTGGCAAGCGCAAGGTCGTGAGTTCGATTCCTGGTACCGGAGTAAACTAAAAAAAGAAAAAAGTTTACGGTAGAGATTGTAGGGGGCGGGGAGGAAAGCATGGACACCAGGTACAGGCCAAGTAGAGCAAGGGAGAGGATTGTGGCCCTGGGTAGGGAAAGAGTAGTCAAGACGAAGAAAAAACGACCAATCTGTGTATTTTGTAGAGGACTCCCTGACAACAGGGAGAGGGTTGAACAACAGGAAGACTCAGGAAACAGCGCTGAGTAACCAGGTGTTTGGTGATACTGTTTACTGGTGTGCGGTGGGAAGTCTTCCTGTTCAGGATAAACAGGAAAAAAAGATATTTGCATCATTTACCAAATCTGACCATCTTCCATTTTGCTGTCCACTGGAGGTCTTCTTCTCTTCTCTCGTTCATGGGCTAAATCACCATTAGCCCTGACTTCAAGTCCAGCTCTCCCGGATAGTGCTCTGTGCAGCAAATGGAGATGAGACATCATTTTCTCCTCAAGCGCCACCTCGGTCATCTCTAGTGGACCCGGAGGAGTGACATCTGTCTCTATTTTTGGAATGCCTACATGTTCCCACAACGCAGCAGGGTTCAGATTCCACCGAATCCAGCAGCCTGCAGAAACGAGCAGTTAGTGGCCCCACATAGATTGTGGAAGGAAGGGTTTGACTGGTCATCTTAAGACTTTTCTGTCCAAACGTTGGTCTCTCGAGGAAAAGATCTTTTAAATTATGTATATATGTATATATTTTTTCCTCTGCCACAGAAATTGACACAAGATAATTCACATATTGCGAGGATTCAGATGTAACACATATCACATTACTGCACTAGGTCTTGACTTCCTTGTTTTCTTTTTTTTTTAAAGTGCTGGGGAATTTTGGTGGGGTAATACTTTTGAATTATCTGTTTTTTAACTTTCTAATTTTTAGTATATGTTTGTGATACATACTAATTGTAATAATCTTGGTGAATTAGCATATATACATTATTACATCTTGATCATTTTTACTCTTCTCCCCAGCCTGCTTTTCTGCTGTTGTCTGCTGTTTTCATCGTCCACTAATAGAAGCCCTGACTATACAGAGCTAAATTCCCAAACCGTATCGACTGATACTCATACCGGCTGGCTGATGAGAACCCTAGGGTCAGGTGTTGGAACAGCTTGCAGATGTACCAGCCCCAACTCAGTGGAGTGCTTATGACTCGATTCTTGTGTTTACAAGCATAAATTGTTCCTTTTATCCTGGCAGCCCATCCCACACACTCCTGTCTCTGTCTTTCCACAGAAGGTTCGAGATCTCAGATTAAAGCACAGAAACATCCAGTGTAGAGCTAAAACAATCTAAAACATTTTTATAAGACAATCGTGACTTATCCCATCGCTTCCTACTGACTAGGATAGGGAGTGGGGTAAGTAGGGGGCAAGTACATGGTTTGCAGTGTATTTAATTCCTGTTTTTAGACCATACTCTTGCCTTCAAATGCAGCTGGAGATTCAGGTTGCCAAGCCTTTGGGATCCACAGGACAGGGTGGCTGCCTTGTCCTCTGTCCTCCAGTCTAGATTTTCAGTAGAGGCAATCCTGAGGGCGTGAGGGGTGGTGTAAAGAATATAGGAGTGAAGCAGGTGTATTAGTGCACATTTGCACACACCTATAATCCCATCTCTCAGCTGAGACAGAAAGATCATAAATTGGAGCCCAGTCTGGGGAATTTAGGGAATTATTTTGCGGTCTTAGAGACCCTTGGTTTCAATTGCCAGTATTGCAAATAAGTAAAATAAATGAATGTAGAAGTGCCTGCTGATCCTGGCCCTGCTGCCGCCTTGAACTTGGAAAGTCAGGTCACTTCTGCAGGCCCCTTTCCCCGTCTAAAGGAACAGACTCCCAGAGCCACCCTGGCCTGGTAACAGAAGCATCTCATCTTCTCACCCGTCCCGAAACAAACAGCTGGGACCTTTCTATTCAGAGATGAACCATGAGGCTCCTTGTGTCCTTGGGGACTCAGAAGAACACGGAAGGCCCCTAGGAGAAGTTATGCTGGCAGCCGGAAGACGTAAATAGCAGTGAACCCTGTTGAAGGGCTTTATTGTGATAGATGGTGGGCCTCAGCCCAGAAGCGGCTGCATCCAGATAGGACCTCAGGGACAGCTGTGGAAGGGACCATGCCATTACTCTTTTCCTTTAAGGAGTCTTTCTGACCGACAGGATAAAGAACATACTTCCTCCCTAGAGGTCCACATGGGCCAAGAATGTGCTAACTGCACCATATATGTGTACCTGGAGGCCCTGGGGCTGCAGAAGATAAAGGAGCCTCGTCCAGAGGTTAAAAGTTTGTATCCGGGGTTTAGATCGAGCTCTGCCTCACAGATTGTTCCCTTGGACCTTACTCAGAGACAAAAGATTATTGATCAGTGTGCAGGAAGTTTACTAGGGAGCATTCTCAGGATCAGCTCCTGAGGGGGAATAGGAGGAAGCAGAGGGCGAAGGTCAGGTGCAGTCACAGGAAGCTTTGGCAGACCTGCAGGGCAGCTCTGAAGCCAGGATGGCCATTGGGTTGAGGGCCCAAGCCTTCACCACCCTTGCACTGACCGTCCGGCTACCGCAGGGATGGGGAGGAAAGGCAGCTCTCTGCAGCCAAGGGCAGTTCCTCCAGGGGGCTAACAGCTAAGACTGACCAGTCTGCACCCTGCCCGGTAGCTGGGGAACAGTCCTTCAGGCCTGAAGGGTGGACCTACGCAGCATCTGCCACAGTATCCCATGGTGCTGTCAGATCATGACATTTTGTACTATGCTGTGTAATAACTTAAATTCCCTTACACCTCCAAATAAAACTGTCACCGCAGGAAAATGGGCCCTATTTATCCAGCGACTTGAATTCCCTAGCACATCACGAGTACTGGGGTCACAGCCTACCCAGGGTGAGAAGCACTACCACACTGCACTCACAAGCAGAGCTTCTGTCTTTAATCCTCCAGCTCTCAGCTTCCACCTGCTTCCTTCGCGTTCGGGGAGCAGCCTCCTGGGGAAGCTGGCGGGCATCTTTTTCTGGGGAAAACTCGCCAGAAGAAGTTGAGTGGAACAGTCTGCTCTGGTGCGGCTGCAGCTCGTCATGAAGCACAACTGATCCTCCTTTTCTTCTTCCGTGCCTTCGAGATTCCTCCTGGGCTTCACCAGAGCCTCTGGTGGTCTGGGTGGCTGGTGTGCCGAGTGCCCCAGACCTCCACTTTCCGGGCTGTGGATGCTGCATTTGTTCATTCAGTATCAAAACCAGGCAGGACATTGTTCTGGTCCCTGCGCGTGGTACCAGCCTGCTTCCTTCCTGGTGATCACTCTTGCCTGCTGATTCCTTGGCAGAAGGAACGTCTGATACCTGACGCCTGCTAGTGCATTTCCTTCCCCTGGTAGAACACTCCATTTCCTCCCAGTAAATTATTTTGCGGTCTTAGAGCTTCCCTGTGTCGGAGGCTGCCTCTGCTCCTCTTCTACTGGAGATGGGTCCTCACTATTACACCGGGCGACTGGACAAGCGCTTTGGGGCCCACGTTTATGGGCAGAATGAAGCAGGACTAGGCAGAGAGAGAAATCGGGCTGCCGTGGACCCCGGCGTGCTGTGTCTCAAACCGGCACTGATCAGTAACTGTGCTGGTGGCTGGCGTGGATCCTTGCTTCAGTGATAACGGAAATTAAAACTGAGGCAACAGCATGAATTCACAGGAAGAGTTTTAATTAAAGAATAAGAGAAAATGGGGCGGGACTTCAGGTTGAGGAGAAGGAAAGCTGAAGAGGACACAGCTCTGATGGACAGGAGTAGGCTGGCTTGTTAACAAATCGGGAAGGCGCTGCAGCTGGAGCAGAAAGCTAACAGGGCCACAACTCTGACGGGGATCGGTCCGGTCCATTAACAGCACTCACACTCAGGGTGGGGCACCGTGAATCAGTCCCAGCATCGCACACTCTGGATCCGGCCCCGTCCGTGAAGCCCCACCTATGACCGCATGAGGCTTTGGGGAGACATCTAGGTTCAGCCAGAGCACTTGGTATGTGGGTGTCTTCATCTTCAAGGGGGATGAGTTCGGTTAGATAAATCTCGGGCTAATACACAATGGCAAGCAGAAACGCCAAAATGACACCAAGGGTTTGGAGGCAGTGAACAGCTTTATTTTACTCTGCTGGTCCCGGCAGTCTCGGTACCAACCACAAAGAAAGCCAGGCCCCATCCTCCGGTGGTCTGGGGTTTTTAAAGGGTTTGACAGGCAAAAAAGTACAGAATCAGAACTGTACAGTTTTGATAGGGCAGGGCAGGTCCCTTGACTTTGGGGAACCAGTGGGTCGAATGGAAAGTAGACACAGTGCCCAAGATGTCGGCCTGGACAAAGAACCAGGAAGTGAATAGTGGGCGTCCGAGAACAAGTGAGGAGGCCGTATTACATGGGGCAGGTTGGAAAAATAAAAATAGATTAAAAGGGGCTTCTCCACTTTAAAAGCCTTATATTACCAGCTTTTAAACAGAGACTCCTTAAATGATAAATGTGTCTATCTGCAGAGCTGAACATGGATCTGATGCAAAGTTGTAAGGTAATGGAGACAGACACAGAACGAAGGCAGAGCTATCGAGCTTTATCCTGTTGGTTACCCAGCGGACATCTGTAGCCCAGAGTCACTGTTTTAGCAAAAGCAGCTTTTAAGACCCTGACTGCCCCGGAGAGAAACACAGAGCATTCTTTTAATGAGTAACAGGTGGGTGGTCCTGGAGTTTGTTTATCCTCTGTCCCTCTGTGTTGATCCCAGCAGTTGTATTCTCTCATCTGGCCTGTTCTTGGAGACTGTGGTCAAAGCTTCCTGGCTTTAGTGATGAATCTGGTTTCTGAAGCCTGTGACACTGTTCAGAAGTATGAAGGGGCAGAGAAAAATGTATACCATGCTTTTAAAGGGTAACAGCTCGGGGCTGGGGATTTAGCTCAGTGGCGCAGTGCCTGCCTGGCAGGTGTGAGGTCCTGAGTTCGATTCCCGGCACCAAATAAATAAATAAAAATAAAAAGTAAAGGGTAACAGGTCTTGAGTTAAGGCCCGGGACTGCACCTGCCCTTTATCCCTGAGGTGGTCTTGTCTGTCAGATGCTAGCTGTCCTAGGAAGGCAGGAGCTTGGCCAATGGGCTTTCTTTGCCAGCAGCAGGGAATGGGGGGGCAGGTGGCATAAACATTGTGGCCCTCCCAGGGGACCTGGGCAGCACAGCAGTGTCCATGACAGTTTCTTACAATTTTGCCAATCACTGTGGTCCTGGCATCCACTCTGAAGAGATCTTTCTCCGACTGAGATGGAGGAAGGCCCACAAAGTCTCATTTCCCTATGGGTAAGATGAAGGAAAGGGCGTACTTTATGTGAAACATCTGATATCCAGGTAGAGCCCTGCCTTCCAGACTGTTTGGAAGAGGAAACAGGTGACCTCTCACAAGAACCCTTGAGGTTGGGAGTAGCCCTTTGTACCTGCCATACAGGGTTTATCCAACAAGAAATCTGCCCTGGCTTGGTGTCTGAGTGGAGCACATGAACAGCTGGATAAGCCGGGACCTCCTCAGGTGTGCCTAGAAATCCCTGGGAGGTGTTTAATTACTCCTTGTTGAGGGGCTGAACACTCTGGAGGGCTCAAACTCTTTTCGTCATGTGGAGGATCTACCCCTACACGCTACTCTTTCTTCTAGAACTTATTTCCAAACATTTCTATCTGTACAGTTGTGCATGCCGTGTAATTACATTCACTGTGGGTAGCTGGTCCATGTACAGAACACACCTTCATTCTTTGCACACTCTCTTCCCCTCCCTTCTAGAATTCATTTTCAACGATTTACGCTGTAGTCCCTGAAATCGTCCGCTTCGTCCGCTTTGGAAACGCAAGCCCCGGGAGGGTGCAGCCCTCTTTGGCCTCGCCGGCCGCGCTGTCCCCAGCATCACCACCAACCGCGGCTCGGCTTCCAGTGAGTGTTTGCGGTGTGAGCGAGTGCGAGCGGGAGGAGGGTTATTTTGGAAAAACGAAGGGGGACCTCATCCCGCTCCTAACCGCGACTCCTGTCTGCAGGCCACCCGCGCCTCCTCGGCAGCGCACCCATGGGAAGGGGCGCGGCGGCCAGGCAGGGCGCGCGGGCGAGCCTTTCACACTGCCCTTCCCTGCGGGGCGCTGCGGGCTTCCAAGCCGGCTCCCGTCCCTGAGACGCTGCTCCGCGCTTCTGGCCCCGTCCCGCGTCGGTGTTTCGTCGGGAGTGAGTGAGACCCCGGCGCGCCGCGCAGGCCGCTGCCCGCAGAGGCCCGGCTCTCACGCCGCGCTTTCACGCCTGCGCGGGGCGCCGTCCCGCTGGC